GGTCCTGCCTTTCACATACTTCGACTGTAAAACCTTTTGTTGAATGGGTGTATGAAGTGTAAAATTTTTTGATGTTACCATAGCCATAGTCATTTCATAGACATAAATCTCAAGCACACGTCACAGATCGTCCTGATCCAGCCTTTCACATACTTCAACTGTATACACTTTTATTGAATGGGTGTATGAAGTTTTGTCTGTTTCCATAGAAACATATGTTTTTTCTGGCACAGCCATTTGCATACATGTACAGTACTTCAACAACGTAGCTGCATATGTTCCAATAATAGTTCTCAAATACATGTTTTCCTTTGTCTACGGTATACTCCAACATTTGCATACATGTACTTCAACAACGTAGCTGCATATGTTCCAATAATAGTTCTCAAATCCATGCCACCATTATTTTCCTTTGTCTACGGTATACTCCAACATTTGCATACATGTACTTCAACAATTTTGCTGCATATGTTCCAATAATAGTTCTCAAATCCATGCCACCATTATTYTYCTTWGTCWACTGTATACTCCAACTTTACATTTCCAGGCCGAATGAGTATATATTGCATATTTTTTATAACAATATTTGAGTACATGTACGAACACACTGCCTTTTAAACTGCTTCATATGACAGCTTGCWTTCTTTGGTTCAAAGTATCTTGGTAATTCCAGTAACTGTTCTACATGTCCGCCTTTCTTTATTATGATTCACAACATGGTTCCCTTCATCCAGAATCTCAAACATAAACCAGTGTACAATTTTGTACAAGATTGTATTTTCAGTTATTTTCAATCTCTGTTGTAAAATTATTAATTTTTCGATGTTGAGTTAAAAGAGTATAACAGTGAAGGGAAAATGTAATGTTGTAATATTGCAGAGCACTCCATTTCACATCCATCAAATCCACCTCTTTGCCGAGCTTAATACATAAAGTGCAACAGTTCCTAACGACGCAGTTAATGTCCACACAGCAAGCTTGACATATGGATTTGTTGATTCAGTATTGACTGCCGCAGGGCTTTGGTAAGGTTGTAACTGTTTTGATCTCTTGATACGTCGTTCACGGAGAACAGAGYCCGGTCTTTGGTCTCCCAGCTCCTTTATGAACTGTGTGTGTTTAGCTATAGCAGTACTAGAAGAAAAGAAAATTGAATAGTGATCAATATTTCAAATATTTTCAGTGTGAATTACTTGTATCGAATGTATATGCCGAAAAAACAGACGTCTAATCAAGACAATTATCACATACACTGTACATACACCAAATTGAAATATGGCAACCACTTTGATTAACTTCATGTATTGTTTTGCACTGACTAGCCTCATACATGTGAAAATACTTTTACTTTTCCACATGAACAGGATGATTCTTCTCTATTTCGGACAATACTCCAAACAATACATCATACTTGGGATCAATACTACGCACATGTTTATTAGATAATTTCAATTACCAAACTACAGACTTTTTAATAGATTTGTTATCATATTTGAAGAAATATTTTTCAAAACTCCCCGCTAATTGTTAGCAGAGAAAATGGTTGCGCCCCCCTCTGAATCTCCAAAGCCCCCCCCGCCCCCAACACCATAATTTATTAATGCTTCATTACTTTTTTGAACATTACGTACCTCTCTTTAAGGTATTTTTCTGCAGCGCTGGCTAGTTTTTCAGGTGAATATTTATCGAATAGAAATTTAGCTGAAACTACAAGTTCTTCTACTTTAGAAGGGAAGTTTTCAGGGATCTTGGATAACATGTGATGAATAAAGCACATCTCACATTCACCTAGTAATATCTCCTCCCGTCTGTCAATAACGAGCTGAAAAAAGAAAGAAAAATATTGTAATTGTACTATTTTGCACCTTCCACTTTA